CGTGGCTGCCGCCGGTGCCGCCGCGCCGCGGGTGCTTGTGGGTGTGCGCCGCCGCCTGGGCACTGCCGGCTGGCGACAGGCCGTCGCCGGAGGGCGGGCTGTCGAGCATCTGCTGCGCCGACTGTATAATGGCCTGTTGCGTGAAGACCGGGTGCGGCACGCCGATGATCGACTGGTTGTCCATGGCGCTTGAAGGCGCCTGCGCGCCGAGGGCGTCGTACGACACAGCGTGGCTGTGGCTGTGGCTGTGGTCGTAGCCGTGGCTGTGGTCGTGGCCGTGGCACCCAGCCATCAGCTCGTCGCGCTCGCCAGCTACCGACTCCTCGTCGCCGTGCGCGTCGTCGTGTGCGTGCGAGTGGCCGTGCCCGTGCCCGTGGCTGTGCCCGTGGTCGTGGAACAGAACCAGGCCCAGCAGGTTGAATGCCAGGCCGACGCAGCCCACGGCCACAACCAGGCGCGGGTTCTTGACCTCTTCGATCTGGATGAAGCGCTGGATGGCGTCGATGTAGATGGTCAGGCACAGCCCGAGCAGCAGCACGCCGTTGGTCAGCGCCCCGAGGATCTCGGCCCGCTGCCAGCCGTACGTGTTGCCGGGCACGGCCTTTTCGGACTGCGCCACGACGATCGCCCACAGCGCGATGACCATGCCCAGCACGTCGTTCAGCATGTGGAACGAGTCCGCCACCAGCGCAATCGACCCCGCCGCAATCCCGACTACGAGCTCAATAAAGAACATGCCCGTGCTCAGGCAGAGCATGATGCTCACCTTGGCCGCGCGCGACAGCCCGGCCATGGCTCCACTGTGCGCGCGTGCTGGGCGGTTCAGGCGTGGGTGCGCAAAAATAAAGGCGTGTGCGCAGACTAAAAGAGAGCACAGGCCGCGAGAGACAAAGAGGTGCGCCGGAAAAGCCGGAAGCCCGCGCGGGCTTGGCCAGGCCCGGCTGCACGTGCCAGGGCGCAGCCCCGCCTCGGACTTTCCTGTTCCAGCACGCCGGGTCACTCCGCCCTCCCCCAGCCACTCAGCATGGGGTCGAGTGACGCAATGGCGTCTGCTCCACATGCTTTGTGCGATCACAAAGGCCGCAGCCACTCCCCGTGGCAACACACTCTGCGCGGTGAGATGCCACTCGACTGCACTCGAGATCTCCACCGGAACAGGCACGGGTTTCCCCGGCGCTTTGGCGGCCCCCACCAGCGGGCATGCAAAACAGTGCTCTATTCGCTGGCGCGCTCTCAGGCCCAACAGCCAAAGGTAGTAATCAGACACACTCTACTTGTCTATATCCACGATGACGGGCGACTTGCATACAGGGCACTCGCCTGACCGCTTCGTCAGCCATTTCCGAATGCAGCCCTTGTGGAAGGCGTGGAAGCATGGGAGGCGCGTAACCGCCTGCCCCAGCTGGTACTCGTCGAGGCAGATGGCGCACTCTTCGAGTACGGGTTTCTCGTCAATGTCGATGGCGCACTCCCCAAGTTCGGGGTTCTCGTCAACGTCGATGGCGTACTCGTCGTGTGCAGCTTTCTCGTCCGGGTAGATGGCACCTTCCTTGTGAGCGGCCTTCTCGTCAGGGTAGATGGCGTACACATCGTGAGCAGCCTTCTCGTCTGTGTTGATCTCGCCTTTGTCGTTCGTGACCTTCTCGTCCGCGTCGCCGACCTTCTGCTCCTGCATGGCCCAGGCCTGCGAGACCACAAACTTCTCCGTGACGTACTGCTGCGGAAGGAGTTTGAACTGGCGTTGTGTGAGCCTCTTTGTAGGGCCGCCACTGCGGCGTTCCGGTCGGTCCGCTGTCCCGGCATCGTCGCCGCTTCGTCTGGAGGCGGGCGGCGGCGAGATCGGCGCATCGCTGGCTTGCGACTCTGGGCTCTCTGGCGGTGTTGGCGAAGCAGCGGCTGCAGTCGTCTCTCGCGCCGCGTCTTCTGCGCGGCTTGCGCTGTCCCCCGTGGCTGCAACGCTGGCAGCCTCGCTGGGCGCTGGCGACCTCCGCGCCTTCGAGTAGGCGATGATACCAATTACAATCAGGATGAAAACGCCGATGGACACGCCGACGGCCGTGGCGGGATCACTGCCGCCACCACCCCCACCGCCATCATGGGGGCCAGTGTTCTGGGTGGGCGTTGGGGTGCTGGCGGTATTGTCGAGTGGGGTGGCGGTTGCCAGCGTCGCGCCATCGGTCGGAGAGTCAAGCGGCCGCGCCCGCGCGGCAGAGAGGCCCAAGACAAGCGCAGCGAGCGCCGGCCATGCACGCTGCAGCGACAGGCAGCTCATCTGCGCGATGCAGCGGTGGTGGATACAGAAAGATGGGTCGGTGGAAGGGCAGAGCGGAAGAGCGACGGGCCCGATGGGGAGGTGGAGACAAGGATCGTCTGTCGGCACACACAATACCTTGCGTTATGCAAGCCGTCACCGGTGTGCAGCCGACGCTGCAGACGAACAATCTGGCTGGGCCAAAGGACGGGCCATCAAACACGCCCTTGCAGGTCGGGGTTTTGCGCATCCAAGCGGCTTCATTGCAACAAGGCGCCTGTCATGTGTCAGTGCCATTGTGCCATTTTTGACCACCTCCGCTGCTGGCCAAAGTCGCCGTGCTGTGCCAGCGCTGCTAGGGCGCAAAGCGGCAGCGCTAGCCCGTCCTTTGTGTCAAAAAGGCAACTAGTTGGTGGCATCGATCATGGCGATGAGAAACGCAAAATCGGCGGGGTAGCTCAGCCGCCCGGGTCCTATAGTGTAGTGGTTATCACTCCGGATTTTGATTCCGGCAACTCGAGTTCGAATCTCGGTAGGACCTGCTTTTTTGCATTTATTATTTTTGGGCGCCATGCGCCGGCCATGAGGGCCCTCAGTGTGCCTTTGGCTAGTGCGCGTGGTTGCGGGCACGCAGCCGTCCTCCCTTTTGGCAGAATTGTCGATTTGCGTGCTCAACTCGTGCGGATATGAAGGCTGCGATACTAGTGGTTCTGTGTGTGCTGGGCGGCGCCGGCGTGTGTGCGCGGCTGACGAGCATTGACCCGGACGACATGGCGCTGAGCAGCCTGCTCGGGATGCGGCCCGACCTCGTTGACATGCTGGGCGCGGACGGCACCAACGGCGGCAGCGGGCGCGGCGAGGGCGACGCGCTGGGGACAAGCAAGCGGGCGGAGGTGGAGGGTCAGGCGATCGAGCGGGCCGAGTGCGTGGGCGAGTGCGCGCCCGCGGATCTCGGCTGCCGCGCGCGGTGCCTGGGCGTGCCAGGCTTGGCGGGCCAGCGGGAGCTGCGCAGCATGGACACCAGCGGGAGCCTGCCGCGCAACTGGCGCATGCAAAATGACACCGGCCGCGACAGGGCGGGCAGGTCTGCGGACGACATGGGCGCGGACGACCTCTCCGCTGCTGCTGGCCGTGCGGGGGCGATTCCCCGCCTGATCGCAGCCGCGCTGGTCCTGCTGGCTGTGTAGCTTGGGACCGCGTGGCGCCATGTGCGCACCCAGACTGCGGTTCCAGGCATCCCCCCGCAGCCTCACTGCGTGCCAGGGCTCTAAACCGCACGGGTGTGTCCTCGCTACTGACACGCGGGGTTCTTGCTGCGATCTCGTCTGTCTCTCGATTTCCCGCTGCTTCTCTTCCAGTTTCGCAAAGAGCACCGTGACAATGCATCGGCGATGTGCGTGGGCGGTGGCCGCACTACTGATATTTCCACTCGCCAACAGCAGCAGCATCAGCAGCAGCATCAGCAGCAGCATCAGCAGCGGCGGCGCAAGTGGCAGACCAAGCGCGACTGTGAGCCACTCGGCCAACGTGAGGTTGCAGACAGTGGTACTAAACCTGTACAGGGTGGACGTCAACATCGTCAAGGAGTGCCAGGACCAGTGTTCAGACAGCCGGTGTCGGGGCCAGTGCGAAAAGACGGGGCTGAGCGACGAGGAGATCCTGATACGGACGCAGCGGTGCACGGACCGCTGCCAGGAAAGGCCGTCGGAGCTTATCCACATGTGCATCCAGCACTGCACGTACTACCTGGTTGATCCGGTCGGACACGTGGCGGAGATGGAGATGGGGCCTGAGAGCTCCGTAGGCGAGGACGGGCTGCTTCTGGATAACGAGCATCTCCGGACGCGGATACGGCTCATTGGGCCCGACGGGCTCCCGCTAAGGTCCACATCTACGGCTCCAGCGCCCTCCAGAAGCTCCAGCAGCATCGATCTTCGCCATACCGTTCGCAGTGACGACGACGACGACGACGACTACAGCTACAGCTACAAAAGCACCTCCCAGTACCGAGTCGTGCTCGTCGGCAGCGGCCGCCAGCACCTGTCGCCAGTCACCATTGCCGCTTCCGCTGTCGCCGTGGCGCTGGCGTGGCTCGTGTGATGTGTGGCTCCCGTGGCTTTGTGGGGGGGCCTCTTGGCGTCCGCCACCCAATCCTTTGGCGGTCCGCTTCCTTTGTTTCTCTCTCTGTTTCTTAAGCAAGGCATTCTGTAATCAATTCTCGTCGGCAAATCTGTGGCGATGCGCTTTTGGTGTCTGCCGTGGACGCGGCACCAAGTGTTCCGCGCGCTTGGCGTGCTGCCGGTGTTCCTGACGGTGGGGCTGCTGGTGTGGTCGCTCGGGGTGTTCTACGCGGTGGTGCTCCCGGCAATGCATGGGCGGCGGGCGGCGCACGCGTGGTTCTGGGGGCCGGCGGTCACGGCGCTGTGGGTGATGGTTGTGTGGTGCTACGGGGTGTGCGTGATGCGGGACCCGGGCCACTCGGTTGCGCGGCGGGCGACAGTGTCGTCGCACGGGGGCATGGGCCGGCAGCCGTACATCCGCGTGCGCGGGGGCGACACGCCCCGGCGGCGACGGGCGGACAGCGCGGCGGACTGGGACTCGGACGACAGCGACGCGGGCGTCCGGCTGACCGAGGACCAGCTGCAGCAGGCCGATTTGATCCAGAGCATCACGGCCACGGACAGCGGGCAGCCGCGGTACTGCCACAAGTGCAACGCCGCAAAGCCCGACCGCGCGCACCACTGCAGCTCGTGCGACATGTGCGTGCTCCGCTTCGACCACCACTGCCCGTGGCTCAACTCGTGCGTCGGCTTCCACACGCAAAAGGCGTTCCTGCTGTTTGTTACCTACGCCGCACTCTACACCACCGTGCTGGGCGTGCTGACGACCGTGTACTATGTGATCTGGATTATAACCGAGCAGGCGCTCGACATCTCGCTCCAGACCCTGTTCATGGCGTGCATCGCGTTTGCGTTTGCCATTTCGCTGTGGGGCTTTGCCGGATTCCACTACTACCTGGCGCTGCGCAACCTCACGACGCTCGAGACCCACTACAGCAACAAGTACCGGGTGCCGGGCGTGGCCTCTGCCGTGCAGCCCGGAAGCATCAACCTGTTTGATCTCGGCTGGCGGCGGAACCTCCGCCAGGCGTTTGGCCCGTCGCGCCGGCATTGGTTCGTCCCGACCATCTCCACCATCGGCGACGGCACCCGCTATCCGATCAACTTTGAGACGTACAACGAGCTCCAGCGCGCGGCCACGTAGACTGCCACCGCCAGCGGGGGGGGGGGGGAGGGAGTCTTGTTGGTGCCAAAAGGCTTTAATGTTGATAGTGTCAGTGGTGTGCCAGCGGCGCCCCCTTTTCCGAGTTTACCCAGCTCAGGTACGTGTCCCAGAAGAGGTCAAAGCAGCTGCCAAAGGGCACGCGGTAGATGAGCGGCACAAAGGCAAAGTTGATGGTCTGGACGATGGGCGAGATGGTCAGGCCCGTGAGGTACGTGGGCGGGAGCAGGTGGGCCACGCGGCGCGCGGCGTCGTCCAGGCTGCCGCCCTCCATCAGCGCCATCGACGAAAAGAACGTCGCATACATGATCGGCTCGTAGATGAGCACGTCGCACGCCAGCCGCTTGCCCACCTGCGCCGCAGCCGTGCGCCGCTCGGCCTTTCGCTTTGCTCTGGTCGGCGCCGCGCCCTTTTTCCGCCGCGCCGGCGACCTGAACCACGTTGTCTGCGACCTGATCGGGAACCGGTGGTCCAGGAACCGGTGCCACCGCACGCCCACCGGCGATATGCACGTCGAAAACACCATGAACCGCGCCGTCCGCCACAGATCGTACCCCGTGCCGGCCTCCTGCTTGCTGCCCAGGTGCGACCCGACCGTCTGCGCGATCAGGTCGCCGCACGCAGAGAGGCACGCCTCGGTGGCTGCTATTGTTGTGAACGGCCGCGCCTCCGCCTGTCGCGTCCAGAACCGGAAAAACGCCGCCATGGCTGCTCCAGCCGAATTGCACCCTTCCTCCCCCGCGCGCCTCTGCCAGGCCAATGTGCCAGGGCGCAACTAGAAACAGCACAGGCGTGGCGTGATGGAGACTGCGCGGAACCAAGCAGGGCCGCAAAACCGTGCTGCCCCGGCTGATCGCTCAAGCCCGCGCGTGGCGGGCCTTGATCGTGGCGCGGGTGATCACGGGGGAGGGGAGATGCCCATCAGTGGCGGCGAGATACGAGAGAGGGGGGGCCTTGCGCTTTTGACTGCCTGGCCACCCGCGCATCTTCTGAAACTCTAATCTCCAATCAGCGACAGCACAGGCGTCGGAAACATGCTCTCGGCGGTCACGCGGACCGGCGTCCTCAACCCAGCACGCACGCCGCTGGCGCGCGCCAACTGCGTGCGCAGCGTCCGTGCCTTTGTGGCGACGGCGGCGCGCAGGGCCGAGGACGAGCCGCAGTCGGTGGTTGCGGAGCGCGCGCTCAAGAACCGGCCAGTGTCGCCGCACCTTGGCATCTACCAGCCGCAGATGTCGTGGGTGCTGTCGGGGATCCACCGCAACGCCGGCGTGGCCGTGGGCGGGGCGGCGTTCCTGTACACGGCGGCGTTTGGGCTGGCGCCGGTGCTCGGCATGGATCTGTCGTCGGTCGCGGTGGCGAGCACGCTGGCGGCGGCGCCGACCCCGCTGCTGCTTGCGGCCAAGGCGCTGGCCTCGAGCTGCCTGAGCTTCCACTGCTTCAACGGCGTCCGCCACCTCGTGTGGGACACGGGCAGGGCGGTCAGCAACCAGGGCGTCTTCACCACCGGGTACGCCGTCATTGCCGCGACCACCCTGGCCACCGGCTACCTGACGTTCTTCTGAGCTCCTTTGGCTAGCACCGCTCCCACCTTTTCTCCCCCGAACAACTGCCCAGAGAATCAGGCACCGAGCCAGCCCCTCCCCCCACAGACACTGCAGCGGTCAAAATTGGGGGGGAAGTGATCGACAGCCGGGCCATGTGCGCGGTCTGCTGAACGGCTCGGCCTGCGGGCTGGCTCCAGACCTGCTTTCCGCCCGCCACACCCGCTTCTCTCCTTCCGCATCTCCTCTGCATCCGCCCGCGCCGGGGAGCTCTTCTCTCTCACTCCCGCCCCTCGCTCGCACTTCACGCCCCGCTGGTGTCCCTGGCCCCTCCCCATCCCGGCCCTCTCCTCCCCCTCGTACTCACGCTTCGTGACTCCTGGTGCTCGTTGACCGAGCACCCTCCGCGCCCCTCCCTACCTCTGGCCGCCCAGTGCCAGCCGGCCCCCCGCCGCCGCAGACCGACTGCGGGGCCCTTTCCCCTTGGCCGCACGCCCAGACGCGCATGGTTGTATGCGCAACACACGGTAAATGCTCCATTGAGTGCCTGCGCGTGCCCGACCGCTTGTGCCCACCCCAGACGGGCGGCTGCACCATTGTTGTGCAGCGGACCTGGAGCCGCGCGGGGTAAGCGGCAGCAATCTTTGGGCTAACCTTGTGCTCGCGTCTTGGCGGCGGTCCAAATGTAGACAATGAACATATCGGGGCTGTCCTA